CAGGGTTACATGTCTAGTAAGTGTCTGAGGCCAAATTTGAACTCAGGTCCTTTTGACTTTAAGGCCTATGCTCTATTTAGCGTGCCACTTAGCTACCTCAATGAATCAGATTTTTGATGTCGACAATATGACATAGTAACAAGAGAATAAACCTTGAAGCCAGGTGACTTGGATTCAAGTCCTGCCTTTAATAAATACTGGCTAGATGACATTAGGCAAATAGATGTAATTGGGTGCTTGAGACAAGTCTCAAGACAGTAAGTTGCAGAGAAGGTGCCAACCTGTATTAGTGGAAGAAGTTATTTCCTCTGGGAGTTTCCTATATCAATGAAATCATAGGTCCAGTCCCCCTTCCTTTCTAGAGGTATAAAATTTGTGTCTTCCTGCCAATAAGGATCTCAAGAACATTCTTAAATAAGTGGTGTTTACTTCTTATACAGCTATAGAGACAATACTTTTGTTGAAACTGCTTTATTTTTAAATTCATAAATATTTGTTACTGACAAAAGTGGAAAAATCCTTAAGACTCTAAATCTTACTAAACTGATATTTGTTTACAGTACATACAGAATGTGCTTTTACAGGTAAGTAGAACAATGAGAATTATACAGAGGAAACAGTAGTGTACTGCTCAGCTTGACGCTTAATGATTAATTAAGAATCTGTGCAAAGTTACAGATATAAAGGTAATTTTTCATTGGTACCACCATATAATTAACATGAAATCCATAAATTGGGCTAATGCATAAAAATGTTCATTAATCCCTTTTAGGAAATAGTGTACCCAAATTAAAATGTTAAAGTAAGAATTGCTTTTATTAGAGAATTTCTTACTACAAAATGTCTAGTTTAGTTACAGAACTAAGGGCGTATCCACCATTAACAAAGGTCATGAATGGGACATCCCATGGGATGGCCCTTTGCAAGAGGAAATGGGACTGAAGAGGGAGGAATGATACAATTGAGAAGTGACAATTTCTCCTTATAAATGTTGACATTAAGGAGACACGCCATGTTATTTTTGTCACTAGTAGAGGAATGATGGTGTATGTGAAGATTTACACGATGGTCTAGGTTATCTTGACTTTGATCCTGTCTTCTTGTCTCATCTCATAATCCTTTACTGGAGTGTCACCAGGAGGGCTTAGAAAGGAACAAGGGCAGTAACAGTTCCATATGATACACAGATGCTCAGCTGTGACTCCTTCTTCTCTTTTTCCAACTAGATCAGACTTAGTGTCCAGAGCTGTTTTCAAGGAGATAAATCTCATTGCTGTTTAGGAAAAAATAAACTTTTACAACACAAAAATGCCTTCTTTTCAGGAGGCTTCTCATCAAGGGATTTTGAAATCCCTTAACCACAAGATTTGTGACCTCATGGACAAAACCACTTCCCCCATTCCTATCAATATTCCCTCCTTCTGCCAGCTGTCTCTCAGGCAAAATCTCCTTCTTCTAACAGCCTGGGCCACATTGAAAAAGGAAACAGAAACTCCTCAGGTGCAGAAGCCCTGAATAGTTTGGGTGTTTCTGATATAAGCAAGTTTCTATGAAAATCAACCTATTGAATCAAGTCTATCAAATGGTTAGACAGTTAAACATGCAGCTTCAAGATCCTGGCTGAGTGGGCCAAGAATATTAAGCCAACCCTATACCAGGTATGCCCTTGGTGGCTGAGAATTTCTCTGTGTGTCAGACATAATGAGGCATGTACAGCTCAGAAAGGAGAAATCTGAATACCAGATGGGAGTCAGAAGAATTGCAAGGGCAAAGTAGGGTCAGGATGTAGACGAAAATCCAATGAGAGCCCAGAAAACTTCTTACCTACTGATTTTCCAGCAAGACAATGGTCTGCTTATGAAAGTAGCATTTGAACATTGAAAAATACCTCACTAAAACATGAGCTCCCTTGAAATACTTTCAGGACAAGTTTTCAGGCTTAGTAGAAGATAAGTAAATGATTTATTAATGTGGTCATGTGTATGTCAAAGGCAGACTTAGGTTCAAATTCTTGGGTTCAAATTCTCACTTGTGCTTGATATGAATAATTGTAGAGTTGACATGGGAAATCGAAGGGGGAATTATCTCATTTCCTCCCATTTATGGGAAATGAATTAAACTTTCAGTGATTGGAGATGATGGGTAAATACCACTTACAAACAGAAGAGATCGAATGAGATAATTCATGTAAATTGCTTTTGTTAACTATTAAGTACTACTTAAATATAAGGTATTATATTGTTATTAATGAGGGCAAAAGAGGGAGATAGCAAATGTGATTGAGAGATCCCTGAGGAGCTAAGAGATGTGGCCAGAGCTGGGTACAACAGGAAAGAACCCGGAGCCTCAGGGACAGCATTCATCAAAAGCAGGATCAGAGACAGGGCTGTGCTGACACCAATGACCCCTGGGTTCTAGCAGCCCCTCCTCTTCTCCAAAATGTAGCCAGAAAGAGGTTCTGGGCTCCATGTGACAAGGAATGTCCATGGGGTGTGGTGTTAGAGAAATACAAAATGAATGAAAACTAATGAACAAGGGAGTTTCCTTTTTAGATTCCAATTCCATCATCTTCATCTGGATTTCTGATTTATAAAACTAGAGGCAAGAGGAATGCTAGGGAGAAAGGGCCAGCACTAGAGAGGAAATGACAGCAGTAGACAACAGAGGAGAGTAGATGGAAAGACAAGTTGTTGGAGTGGGTCGAGGAGAGAGCAGGACTGGAAAGCAGGGAAAAGAAAGGAATGGAATTAGGATGAGAGCAGAAGAGAAAGATATTGTGTAAGAATAAGAGGAGATTGAAAGCTGGTACTTTGAAAGTTTGTTCCATCATCTAAGTGGTTAGTGAACACAGAGATACATCAATGGAAATATTCATATGGTTAAGGACTTTTTAAAAAAAAATCTGGCCCCGCAAAATTCAGAAAGCACTGATAGATGGTCAATCCATCCAACGGGTGCCCTGAGTGAAGAAAGACCAGATTTGATCTGTGATAGTTAAGGATTTCTTGATAAAGCTTTTGGGACCTGTAAGTTCATAGGACCAGAAACCATGGCAAAATTCAAGAGAACTCATTTTTAACAAGTCACTTACTTTTTTAAGGTCTAGGTGGAGAGAAAGAGGCAATGATAGGAGAAGAATAAAAAGAAAGAGGCTTCAACTGCAGTCTCAAGTCCCTGCCAGTAACTAACACAGTGCCTTGCACTTACTAAGTGCATAATAAATATTTGTTAAATTAAATCACATCAAATTGAATCTCCGTCAGAATAATTTAGAGAGGAATAGAGACCAAAACCAGTTGGAAAATTTATTTTCAAACATCCCCAAGACAGAATGCCCTGCCAAAGATTATGGAAATTTACTAAGAGGATATTCTACTGACTGACTTACTTGAGGGAATGAGAAAAGTGGATTGGTGCATTAGTTGTTGGTTATGAATGATTGTGGAAGTGCATGTACAGAAGAAAGAGGAGAACACTTAGCAGGGAAGAAGCCCTGTCTTTCTCTTTTCCCCAATAAGTGGATAAAGTTGGCTTGATTTGCTGGTATTGTGCTATAGAACTGTAACTAGCTTCTGACTGGGGTGCCCTTACTTCTAGTATGGCCAACTGAACATTTCATGATCCTGTAATAGGTATATTTGGTTTCATTGAGCCCAATTCTCCCCCTTGTGGCTTAGAGAACAAACTCAGATAAACCTGTGGGGACCAGCCCTCAGAAGGTTTGCATGCTTGGTGGGGAAGAGGGCAGAAAGAAAATCTGTCCTTGTCCTGGCTCTTTGAAGCCATGTCACTCCCCATGTAGGGAAGCTAAGGAGCAAGTGCCCCGTACCGTAGTCTCTGTTCACTTTGGAATGAGACTGGCCTGAGCAGTGAATCAGGAAGGTTGGGAGGGGATAAGTTATAGGATCATATATTTAGAGCTGGAAGGGACCTCAGAGGTCATGTACTAAAACCTCCTCATTTGACAGAAGAGGAAACTGAGGCCCAGAGCAGGCAGTGTGGCTCTATGGTACAGTGGAATTAGAGTCTTTAGAGGACAGGAGGTCAAACCTCAGCCCTGCCACCTATTATTTGCGTGACCTTAGCCAAGTCACTTAGTGTTTTAGTATTTAGTTTTCTTATCTGTAAAAATGAGGAAGTTGGACTCAATAGCCTTAAAAGCTGTTTTAAGTCTGTGGTCCATGATCCAAATGATCTGTCCGAGGTCACATTGGTAGTAAGTGAAAGATGCAAGATTTGGAGCCAGAACCAACATATTTTTTCCCACTATCCCATAGTGCCACTGATGGTACTTTTCCCAAAGTTCAGACAAAAATTACAGCTTTGTAATTCTTCAAATAAGTTGAATAAAATGATTAATTTCAGTGTCATCTCTGAACTAGAACTTGATGGAAAATTTACAAGGATCCCATGGAAAAATTCTCTGACCTCTGAAGGCACCACATCAATGAGGGAGAGTTTACCTCCATGACGAGGAAAAGATACCCTATTTAAAGGTCATTTCATTTGGAGCCTAATTTTTTTTGATGGAAATAGTAAGATGGTTGCCTCTATAACATCATCTTCTTATGCTGTACTCCAACAGGCTGGTAGAAATGTTAGAATGGCTGGAGCAGTGAGAACAATTGGGGCCACTAACAGAGTTTTCATTCAGAATACTCTCTTTTTAATACCCTGGATAGGAAACTAATGGAACTGCAGTGGCACCATCGCCCTAAGTATGAAGGAGATGCCCTTCCCTACAAAGTGAAAATAGCCTGGCATACCCTCATCTTAGTAGTCAGCCTCAGGCTAGTTAATTGCCTGTGCTCTCAAGAGGATAAGACTACACAGAAGCCTACACGTGAGCTCCATTTAGTTCCCTCTGGCTGGGTCATGGTACAGCAGATGGTCCAGCAGCAACTCAGGGCTAAAATCTAAGGACTTAACTTGAATAGAAGTGCCTGCCCTGTGATCACTTTATGTATCTGGATAATCTGTTGGGCTGTTGGGCTTCTTCCCCTGCCTCCCTCCCCCCCACCCCCAACCAATACCTCTCATCTTTCTGACGTAAGAAGTAGGAAAAGGTTGCAAAGTAGCCTAGAATAACTGGGTTGGGAAAGTGACTTGGAGTAAAACATAAAGTAAAGTAAAAATCCCATCGTTAGAGTAAAAAAAATCCTGTCTCTTTAATCCAGACTAGAGATAAGTTCTAGAAGCTATCAGTATGTGAACTGAGTGACTGGGTTTGGAGCTGACAATACAGAGGAAGGAAGGCAAACAGGGAAAAGAAGTCCTGAAAAGGACGAAAAGGTGGAGAGTATCTGGGGACTGGTCTCTGGCCAAAAGAGAAAAAAGGGGCTTATGAGTGTAAGGTGGAAGGGCAAGTTGCTTTATGGGAGGGGCAGTGTCATTGTCTAAAGATAATTTTCTGCTTGGGGCCTGAGTTGCCCTCTCAGAGGGCTAAAACACAGACTGCATCTGAAACAGTCCAGTCTCACATGATGGGAATGGTAACTCTCCCTAAATATCATGGCCATCACAGTGGGTCCCCCCCAGAGCCTGACAGGCTGGGTCCTGGGGAGAGGAAATAGGCCTGCACGGAGAGCTGTAGCCTGGGTTTAGGGCTGTGATCTTAGGGCTCCTGGAGAAGATGCTGAGGCTATTTGGTTCTCTGGCATGAATTCCCTATACATCAAGGCCAAGGTTTCCTTCTTTATGGGAATTTGCTTCATCACCACTTCAGGAAAACTTTTGAGCTCCTGAGTTAGAGGACTATGAGAATTCAGGTTCATAGAGAACAGGGCGTAAGGAAAGGGGTATCCAAGGGGTGCAGAGTATGCTGGAATAAGGGAGGCATGGCTAGGTAAGTTTCCCTAACTCAGAGTTTCTGTTAAGGAGCACAAGAAATGATAGAAACCTGTCTGCTCTCAGGCTTCTGTGAGAGTAAAGTCTGGGAGCACTCTGACGAAGGGCAGGGAAGTTATCTTTGTGCTTATGGACACAGCAGCTCCACTGCTCAGGTGAGCAGGCAGTTTTTAGGCACTAGAAGATTTCCATGATGTAGCTCTAGTTAAATGAATGAGACCACACTGCCAACCTGACCAGCCAACTGACCACATACCCTGGTCAGCCCAGCCTGGGAAGGGAGGGTTTTAGTGAGGAGAGGGTATCTAGTAGCTTAACCCTTATTGAGAGAGTATGTGGGAACAAGTTGGTGCTGCTGGGAGGCTCAGAACTATCTTTCCTCACAAATTCTTAATTCCACTTGAAGAAGTGAAAGAAATACTTTTAGATGTGTACAACAGGGTGAGTCAATGCCAAGAGGCTTGGGCTGTACTTCTAGGAGGGGGTATGGCTTTCTGTTGCAGAAGCAGCCCAACTAGCCCCCATCCCTCCCTTGAATATTTTCTATAATTATCCACTTGTGGACATGGTAAGAGAGGGTGGAATTACAAGGGCCAGAAGATTCTCTATTCTGCCAAGTCTTCAAGACCCTTTTGGGGAAGACATTCTGGCTTCTCTCCTAGCTACCTCCACCCAGCCTATTCCTGGCTCTGACCCTGGTCACACAGTCACTTCAGTCTTGCTGGCTGTATGGTAGTGGGTATGTTGTCCAGGGATGTAATGCAGCTGTTCCACTGTGTTGTGTCTCCGAGTTGCAAAGGCGTGGCGCTTGGCTGCGGTCTGACTCTGGCCTAGGGTGTTGTAGGAGTTATTGGAGGCACTAGGATGGGAGTGCATCTTGGTCATGTGGTAGCGGTCCAGGACAGGTGTAGACACAAAGACATCCATGTTTGACATGGCACGAGACAGAGCCTGCTCTGGGAAGGCTGTCCTCTCTGGGGACAGCAGTGGGTCCTGGGAATGTAGGCGTTCAGCTGACAACAGCTGCTCATCAGACAGGATCCTGTCATAGGACATGCTGAATTCCTCTGGCATCACCCTTTCAGGAGAGAGGACTCTGTCTTGGGACATGGCTCGTATTGGCCGGCGAGGCCGCTCGCGTGGTGGGGGCTTCTGCTGTGACATCTGGATGACATTGAGAGGGAGAGTGCCCCGGGCAGCCAGATCAGGGAGGTGGCGTCTCCTCATATAGTACTCATCAGCTTCCTTGTCAGCTGTAGTGAAGAGACAAATGGAACAATGGGGGGTGAGGAAGAGGTTTGGACTGTCAAATCTATTCAGGGATAAGGGGCTAGATAGAGAGTAAGCTCCACTAGCACAATACCACTTCAACCAGGGTCCCTATAATAAAGTTATTGATAGTCACAGCTAGAAGGGACTAAGTAAACTTAGATCCCCCTCATCTTACAGAAGAAATTGAGATCCAAAGAAATAAGGAGATTAGCTTTAGGTTACATTGCTATCTAGTACCAGAATTTGAACTATGACTGAAGTCTTTTGATTCCCAGTCTGATATGATATCCTGGCCCTGAAATCCTCCTTCTTCTACCACCACCATATAGCAGTCAATAACTTCACAATAAGTACATGAAAGTTGGCAGGCAGCTGAGTTGTAGAACCAATCTTATAATGCTGAAATAAAACCAGACATCAATCCAACACTTTCTCTTAACACAGTCTATACACTACCCTCCCAACACACATGTTGTTCATATACATGCAATTTAAATAAATTCAATAAGCATTTATTAAGTGGTATTGCATGCCAAGTACACACCCATCTATCTCCACTTTATAAATGCATACCACAACATACCCTGTCATCAGATTGAGTGCTTGTTGTTAAGGGGCCATCTTTTTTTTTTTTTCGGTTAGGCAATGGGGTTAAGTGACTTGCCCGGGGTTAAGTGACTTGCCCAGAGTCACACAGCTAGTAAGTGTTATGTGTCTGAGGCCATTTGAACTCAGGTCCTCCTGAATCCAGGGCTGGTGCTCTATCCCCTGAGCCACCTAGCTGTCCCTGTTAAGGGGTCATCTCAATCCCCTCAACACCATTCAAAAAGCAAAATCTCTCTCTAGATTCCCTTACCCAAAGTGGGAGGGTATTTCTACTTTCTTAAATTTCTCATTATATTTTTCTAGGATTTCCCTGGCCTGTGCTTAGCACAGTACCTGGCAGGCACTTTATATGTGTTTGTTGACTGAATTATTGCCTTCTTTTCACTTATACTCTCAATTATATCCTAGTTATTTCTGTATGTGATTTTCTATACCCAAATGCAGAAATCAGATTGGGAAAAATAAGATTGTAAACTCCTTGAGAATGAGATCTATGTCATATCTTTTAAAATATATTTAATATTATATTTTCCCTAAATTACATGTAAAAACAATTATTAACATTTGTTAGACAAATTTTAACATTTCTTCCTACCCACTCCTACCCCCTATCAAGAAGGGAAGCAATCTAACATTGGTTATACATATGCAGTTATGCAAAATATATTTATGTGTTAGTCATGTTGTGAAAGAAAACACAGACAAAAAAAAACAACAAAAAGAAAGAAAGTTAAAAAAAGTATGCTTCCACTGCATTAAGACTCTACCAGTTCTTTCTCTGGAGGTAGATAACATTTTTCATCATAGCTCCTTCAGAATTGTCTTGGATCATTATATTGCTGAGAGAATAGTTAAGTCATTCAATTGATCACTGTATAATACAGCTGTTACTTGTACAAGGTTCTGATTCTGCTCATCTCACTTTGCATCATTTCATGTGAGTCTTTCCAGGTGTTTTTGAGAGCATCCTGCTCCTTATTTTTTATTATATTATAGTATTCAGCCATTGTTTATCCATTTCCCCAATTGATGGGCATCCCCTCAATTTCCAATTCTTTGCCATCACTACAAGCACTGCTATTAAATACTTGTGTATATATAGAACCTTTTGCTTTAATTTTTATCCCTTTGGGATATGGACCTGGCCTAATATTGCTGGGTTAAAGGTTGTGCTTTTATAGCCCTTTGGACATAGTTTCAAAATATTCTTTAAAATGGCTACATCAATCCACAATTTCACAAATCAATCCATATTAGTGTCTCAGTTTTACCATATTCACTCCAACATTTGTCGTTTTCCTTTTCCGTCATATTAGCCAATCTGATTACCTCTGAGTTGTTTTAATGTGCATTCCCTAACCAATGGTGATTTAGAACATTTTTTTCATATGATTGCAGATAGCTTTAATGACTCCATCTGAAAACTGCTTATTCATATCCTTTAACCATTTATCAACTGGGGAATGGCTCTTATTTTTATAAATTTGACTTAGTTCTTCACATATTTGAGAAATGAGGCCTTTATCAGAAAAATTTGTTGTAATTTTTTCCCAGTTATGATTACTATTTGTTTCTCTCCATCCTATCCCCCCATTTATCCTTCTCTCTTCTCTCTCTCTCTCTCTCTCTCTCTCTCTTCTCCTCTCTCTCTCTCTTCTCTTCTCCCTCCCTCTCTCTCTCTCTCTTTCTCTCTCTCCTTTTACCCAGTCCATCCTCAAAATGTTTTGCTTATGACTGCTGCCTCCCCCAATCCACCTTCCCCTCTATCATCTCCCCCCTTCTTTCATCCCCTTTGTCTCCTATTTTCCTAGGGTAAGATAGATTTCTGTACCCAACTGAGCATGTATGTTATTTCCTCTTTGAGACAATTCCAATGAGAGTAAGGTTCAAGTGATTTCCATCCATTCCCCCATCTTCACTTCCACTGTAAAAGCTCTTTCATACCTCTTTTATGTGAAATATTTATCCCATTCTATCTCTCCCTTTTCCCTTCTCCCAGTGCATTCCTCTTTCTCACACCTTAATTTTATTTTTTAAGATATCATTCCATCATATTTAACTTACTTGCACCCATGTCCTCTGACTATGTATACTCCTTCTAACTGCCCTAATAATGAGAAAATTCTTATGAATTACAATTACCATCTTCCCAGGTATGAATATAAACAGTTTAACCTTATTGAATCCTTTATGATGTCTCTTTCCTGTTTAACTTTTTATGCTTCTCTTGAGTCTTCTGTTTGAATAACACATTTTCTATTCAGCTCTGATCTTTTCATCAGGGATGCTTGAAAATCCTCTATTTCACTGAATAACATTTTTTCCCCTGAAGGATTATATTCAGTTTTGCTGGGTAGATAATTCTTGGTTGTCGTTCTAGTGTTTTTGCCTTTCAAAATATCTATTCTAAACACTCCAATCCTTAATGTGGAAGCTGCTAAATCTTGTGTTATGACTATGAAACCACAATATTTGAATTGTTTCTTTCTGGCTATAATATTTCTGAGACTTTTCCCTTTGAGATATCTTTCAGGAGGTGATCAGTGGATTCTTTCAATTTCTAATTTACCTTCTGGCTCTAGGATATCAGGGCAGTTTTCCTTGACAATTTCTTGAAAGATGATGTCAAGCCTCTTTTTTAATCATGGTTTTCAGATAGTCTAATAATTTAAAAATTGCCACTCCTGGATTTTGGCATTTGACCTGTTCTTTTCTTTAAGGTGTTATTTTGTTTAATGTTTTTTGTACTTCCTTTACCGTGCTATTGACTCTTTTTTCATGATTTTTCTTGCATCATTGTAATGTCTTTTCCCAATTTTTCTTCTTCCTCTTTTATTTGATTTTTAAACTCCTTTCTGAGTTATTCTCAGAATTCTTTTTTTTTGGCATGAGACCAATTCATATTTTTCTTTGAGGCTTTGGATGTAGCAGTTTTGACTTCAATATCTTTTTCCAACTTTGTGTTTTGATCTTCCCTGTCACCATGTAACTTTCTATGGTCACGTTCTTTTGTTGTTGTTTGCTTATTTTCCCAGCCTATTTCTTGACTTTTAACTTTATGTTAAAGTGGGGCTCTGACCCTGGGCTGTTCTAAATTTCAAGCTTTTCTTGCTACTACTCTCAGAGATAGTTCTGGGGGTCTGCAAATTTTCAGTTTTTCCAGTGTGGTATGATCTAAAAAGAGGTGTGGTCACTGACCTCCTGGCCTGTGATCTAGTCTGTGGGTGATCGCAAGCACTTTTTTCCATCGTGGAACTTTAACCAGGATTTCCTTGCAGCTGTAAACTCTGGTGTGCTAGTGATTCTCCTCACCCAGGAGGGTGACCTGGATCTGCAAATGGGTAATGCAAGAGTACTAGCAAATGGGTAATGCACCCAGTACTAGCAAAGGGACCCCTGTAATCTCTTTCTTATCAATTGTCCAATTTCCTTACTGTTGGTGGGCTGACAATTCCTACTGTTACTGCTGCCACTGCTGATTCAGTTACCCCAAAGGACTGGTACTGATTTGTTGGGGCATGGCCTGTCCTGACTTAGCCTGTGCTTGAGTGTGCTCACTCTCACTCCAGTGCAACAGATGTTTCCTACTAAACTTCTAAGTTGTCTGGAGCTGGAAAACTGTTACACCCTGTCCTTTTGTGGATTCTGCTGCTCTAGAATTCATTTTAAGGCATTATTTAAAGTTGTCTGGAAGAGAATTTGGTGAATCTCTTGCCTTTTCTCTGCATTTTGGCTTCACTCCTCTGTGTCTTATATATCTTTGCAAATAATACAGTACCTTGAACTTAGTGGGCACTTAATGTTTATTGAACATGCTTAAATAATGTATATACAAATCATACACATGTAACAATACTCACACCTTTCCACCCAATCTGCACATTCACATAAACACATATGAAAACTATATACCACACCCTAGCCTCCATATAATCCTGGATATACATGCAATCTATACATAGCATACATAGAGGGCTAGATAGCCTGTGAATTCCCTTCTAGCTCTAGCTCTACTATCCCAAGGATCATAGTGCATATAGTATATAATATAGTATAACATGTATTTCATAAACTCACATACACTATACTTATTCCTATGCCAAGCCACACAAATCTCCCACTTTACACATATATAAACCCTATATGCCTACACATCCTATGCTCATAAATATCTGGTATGTATGTTAACACACACACTACACACATACATTCTACACCAATATTTAAGCAGACATTCTATTTTTCTATGTGTCTATACATAGGAGTTATTTACCTTTGAATTAATAAAAATGATAATAAAGCACTTTACAAATATTATCTCACTTGATCCTTATAACAACTTGGGAGGAAGGTACTATCATTTTCCTATTCTTGAGATCAAAAAATTGAGGTCAACGGAGTTTAAATGAATTGCTAAGGGTGACACAGGTTAGGAAGTGTCTGAAGAGGCATTTGAGCTCAGGTCTTCCTGACTTCAGGTTCAGAATTCTGTCCATTATGCTATATTGCTATCTATACAGACTCCACAGACTTACATATCTTAGGCCTGTATCTAGCCTGTATTCTAAGCATACATTCCATAAGAGGGTTTTTATATACCCCCACATGCATACATGTGTGTATGTATATGCACATACACATATATGATATACAAATACATATACATAAACATACATATGTGTATGTATGTACACATACACATATACACCAATGCACCTGTAGAAACTTTACACATGATATTCATTTATTTTCCCCACAAACCAAAGCAATGTGTATCCCTGGGAATGCACACATGTCCTATTCACACATAATCTCCAAGAACAAAGCTTCTCACAGACGCCATCTCTTAAATTTCCACAAAGTACAGGATCCCTCAATTCCAGTTTAGAGCAAGATGAATGATCCTACCCCTCACCTTCTAACTAAGAATAATTCAAAATCCCTTGAGATGGTCAGGCATAAATACCCCTAGCAACAGAAATCAAGCTTCCCACTATGAAGGGCAGCTAAGAGTCTCCATGGCCCCTCCTTTCTTTTAATAAGTACATTGTCAGTTTCGAGAGTATTCTCAGTCCCTGTTTTCTGCCTGTGGCTAAAATATTGTAATGGGGCACTCTCAAGTATTTGTAAAGTGAGTGTTCTCCATGGCATTTCTTTGTCTTTTAGGTTTAATTCCTTCCAAATCCAAGACTCCTTGAATTCAAATAACAACGGAGTTCCTAGAGCCACTGGCCTAGGAAGAGATTGATAAAACTAATGGTAAGAGCAGAAGGCCAGAATTGTCATATTATCAGTCAAGGCCTTAGTTCAGGGCTTCTGGGGGTTGGGATGGGGAGGGAAGATAGGAAGGACTGGAAGCTGCTCTATTGAACTTTACCTTCTCAGTGATCAACGTAGCAGGGTGAAGGGATACAGTCTTGGCAATACTGGTTTTTATGCTTGCCACAAGTCAGTAATGATTGGTAGACTTCTAGGGAGAATAACCTCAGACCATCCTGCTCTGGGATTTAGAGTAAAGTAGGGGGAAGGGCAGCATAGACTAACCCTCTGCAATGTCCAGGCTCTCTTCAAATGTGAGAAGGGAAGAATTGTTGATATTGAATTCAGCAATGGGTACATAAGAGGAAATACAAATTGTAGGATTTTTGAGTTGGAAGGGACCCAAGAGATTATCTAATTTAATCTGCTTATTTTATAGATGAAGAAACTGGAGTCTAGAAAAATCAAGTAGTTTTCCAGGGTCACAGAGCTAGTAAGAGAAAGAGTTGGATCTGAGAACCAGATCATTTGTCTCCAAATCTAGCATAACTTCCATTAAAACAGGGGTTATTAACATTTTTTTTGTGCTATGGATCAATGTAGTCCATTAGGTGAATCTTATGGATCTCTTCACAGAATAATGCTTTTAAATGCATGAGATAAAATACAAAGAATTACAAAGGAATCAATTATGTTGAGATATATATAATATATGTATGTGTATATATATCTGTGAAATATACATATTATATATATGTATATATATAATATATATACACATATATATTTCACAGGTTTAGTTTTTTTGAAAAAAAGCAAGCGCACTAAACCAGAGGTGTTAAATACATAGCTGCAACATTCCCAAGTGCAGCTCCAATCAAATCAAAATGTAATTGGGAAATAACTAACAAAATAAATAAAACATAGATAACATTACATTTTAACACTGTCAATATGCATCCCACAGAGATCCTTGTGTGTGGATTAGTGGCCCTTATTTGAGTTTGCCATCACTGCACTAAACCATGCTGCTTTTCTCCTCCACCCTTATCTCTTTTCTATCTGGATGGGAGAAAGAGATGGGACAGGTTCCCATGTCCTGGTAAAGAAAAGGAAATCTAGCAGCACCCTAAGACTGAAACACAACCAAAGGAAATAACACCTACTTAGCCTCTTCAGAGATGAATATTTGCTGGGGTTGGTCTTAACTGCAGACTCATAGGATGGGGGGAGATGAGCCAAGTTCTGGAATGATCGAGAGAAAGAAAGGTCATAGGGCTCTGTGGCTGATGTCAGGATGTTGTTCATCCGTGGCTTTTCTGCAAGAAAGACAAAGGAACCATTAAAAAATTCCTGCTACTACTTTGGCAGGGACATTTACAGAGCAAGAATTCTCCACTCCCCCCACCCTGGCAGGATGAGTCCCCAGTTATCAATAACCCCAGAGGGCATTCCTTCCAGTATTTTGGGCCAAAAAGACACTGTTGCTGTTCAATGAGGAAGGACTTCAGCTTGGGGAACGCTGGAATCTTGCCTAGTCTAAGACCCCCAAGGGATCCCAGGTCAATCCCTCATAAGAATTTTTCTCATAAAAGTCATAGAATGTCAGTGTTCAAAGGTGCTATAGAGACCACTTAATGCTAGACCAACACTTACTTTACAGATGAAAAAATGATGGCTCAGAGAGGTATTGACTTGGTCAGTGCTTTTACTTTGATATTTGGTTTCTGTGCAGCCTTAGACAAGTCACTCAACCTAGCTGAGCTTCCATTTTTCTCCTCTATGAAATTAGGGGTTTGAACCAGATGACTCCTGAGGTCCTCCCAACTCTGGATGAATGCTCTTATACTTAGTTAAGGGAACAGATAGAAATGGAACCCAGTTCTCTTGACTCCTAGTTTAGTCAATATTCTCTACTTCATTATAGCTATACATATATGTAATATATATATGACTTCTTTTTATCAATTATCTAAGAAAAGCAGCCATTTTTATATATTTGTCAATGAGCAGTTACAGTGAAATGAATCTTAAAGCCCCTTTTTAAAAAAAATATTTCATCCAAAAACCACCTTTCATTTCTCTTATACCCTTTGGGAGGGGATAGGGAAAGGGAGAGATGGGTGGTGGCAGTGTGACCAAACAATGCAGTAATACCACTTCTAGGTCTGTATCCAAAGAGATCATAAAAACAGGAAAAAGATCCACATGTACAAAAACATTGATAGCAGCTCTTTTTGTTGTGGCAAAGAATTGGAAATTCTTTGGAAATTGGAAAAACCCCATGCTTCACCCCATTTTTGACTGGCTCCCCTTTTCCAGGTTTTTCCTGCAGTGTTATTTTCTGGGTTTTTTTCCAGAGGTCAGTAAGGGAGAGTGACAACAAGAAGTCCCCTCTGCCCCAGAAACAGGGCTCAATTTTAAAAGCCAGGAAACAAGTAAACAAGATGAACAAAAAGCGAAAAAAGAACACTGACTGTTTCTATGGGGACAGGGAAGATCAAAATACAAACTCAGAAAAGGACAACATTGTCAATATACCTATACCTAAAACCTAAAAGGGGAATATGAATTGGTCTCAAGCCCAGAAAAAGCCTTCTTGGAAGAGCTCAAGGATTTTAAAAGTCAAATAAAAGAGATAGAAGAAAAAAAAAAGAAACGAGAGGTATGCAAGAGAATAAATAGCTTGGAAAAGGAAGGACAAAAATTGACTAAAGAAAACAACTCCTTAAAAAGTAGAATTGGCCAAATGGAAAAGGTGGCACAAAAATTCACTGAAGAGAAGGACTCCTTAAAAAGTAGACTTGGCCAAATAGAAAAGGAGGTACAAAAGCTAACTGAAGAAAACAATTCCTTAAAAATTAGAAGTGGGTAAGTGGAAGCTAATGACTCTATGAGACATCAATAATTAGTCAAACAAAATCAAAAGAATGAAAAAATAGAAGAAAATGTAAAATATCTCATTGCAAAAACTGACATGGAAATTAGAGCTGGGAGAGATAATTTAAGAATTATTGGTCTACCTGAAAGCCACGATAAAAAAAAAAAAGAGTCTGAATGGTACCTTTCAAGAAATTATCAAGGAAAAAGTGCCCTGAGGATCTAGAACAAGAGGTAAAACAGTCAATGAAAGAAGCCACTGATCACCTCCTGAAAGAGATCCCAAAATGAAGACTCCAAGAAATGATGCAGCCAAATTAAAGAATTATCAGGTCAAGGAGAAAATACTGCAAGCAGTCAGAAAGAAACAATTTAAATATTGTGGAACAATAGTCAGGATTACACAGAATTTAGCAGCTTCTACATTAAAGGATTGGAGGACTTAGAATATGATATTCTGGAAGGCAAAGGATCTTGGATTACGACCAAGAATCTACTGCCCAGCAAAACAGAACATAATCTATCGGGGGAGGAGGTAGACATTCAATGAAATAGAGGACTTCCAAATTTTCTTGTTGAAAAAAAGAGCTGAACAGTAAATTCGATCTTCAAATATAAGACTCAAGAGATGCATAAAAAGGTAAACAAGAAAGAAAAAATGATATTCAATAAGGTTAAACTGTTTATGTCTCTACATGGGAAGATATTTGTAACTCTTGAGAACTGTTTTATTACAACATTTAGAAGAGGTATACATAGACAGAGGGTGTAGGTATAAGTTGAGTTTGATATGATGATAAAAAAAATTAAGAAGTGAAAAAAAGGTATTGTACTGTGAAAAAGAAGGAAAAGAGGGGGCAGAAAATGGCAAGTTACATCACATGAAGAGGTGCAAAGACTTATTACAGTAGAAGGAAACAAGGAAGGGAAATGAACATTATTTGAACCTTACTCCCATCAGATTTGACTCAAAGAGGGAATAACATACACACTCAGGTATAGAAATCTAACTTGCCTTACAGGAAGTAAGAGGGGAAAGGGGAAAGAAAAGGGAGGGGGTTGACAGAAGGAAGGGAAGATTGAGGGAGGTGGTGGTCAGAAGCCAACACTAGCGAGGAGGGAAAGGGAGAAAGGAGAGAGAATAGCATAAACAGGGAGGATAGGTTGGAGAGAAAGACACAGTCAGAAATCCTAACTGAATGTGAATGAGATGAACTGTCCCATAAAACAGAAGTGGGTAGCAGATTGGATGAATAACTATAATCCTACAATAGGTTGTTTACAAGAAACATATTTCAAGCAGAAAGATACACACAAAGTAAAGGTAAAAGGATGGAATAAAATATATTATGCTTCAGCTGAAGTAAAAAAAGCAGAGGTAGCAATCCTGACCTCAGACAAAGCAAAAGCAAAATTAGATCTAATTAAAAGAGGCAGGGAAGGAAACTACATCCTACTAAAAGGTACCATAGAGAATGAAGTAATATCAATACTAAACATATATGCACCAAGTGATATAGCATCCAGATTCTTAGAGGAGAAGTTAAACAAATTACAGGAAGAAATAGACTGCAGAACTATACTAGTGAGGGACCTCAACCTCCCCCTTTCAGAGCTAGATAAATCTAACCACAAAATAAGCAAGAAAGAAATTAAGGAGGTGAATAGAAATGTGGAAAAGTTAGATATAGTAGACCTCTGGAGAAAACTGAATGGTGATAGAAAGGAATATACATTTTTTTCTCAGCAGTACTTGGCACCAGCACAAAAACTGACTATGTATTAGGGCATAAAAACATCACTTCATCATTTTCAGATCATGATGCAATAAAAATTGCATGTAATAAAGGGCCATGGAAAGATGAACTCAAAATTAGTAGGAAATTAAATAATCTAATCCTAAAGAATGAGTGGGTCAAACAACAAATCATAGAAACAATCAATAACTTTGTCCAAGAGAATGACGATAATGACACAACATACCAAAACTTATGGAATGCAGCCAAAGCAATTCTTAGAGGAAATTTTATACCTCTAAATGCTTACATGAAGGAGATTAATGAATTGGACATGCAGCTAAAAAGCTAGAAAAATTAAAAATCCCTTATTAAATATCAAATTAGAAATACTGAAAACCAAAGGAGAGACTAATAAAACTTAAATTAAGAAAGCTATTGAACTAATAAATAAAATTAAATATAAATAAAAATGAAAGAGCTGGTTTTATAAAAAAACCAATAAAATATGTAAACCTTTTGTTAATTTGATTAAAAAGAAGAAAAAGAAGAAAAGAAAAACCAAATTACCAGTATCAAAAAAGAAAAGGGAGAATTCACCACTAATGAAGAGAAAATTAAAACAATAAGTAGCAGCTATTTTGCCCAACTGTATGCCAATAAATCTGACAATCTAAGTGAAATGGATGAATATTTACAAAAATATAAATTACTGAGATTAACAGAAGAAGAAATAAAATGCTTAAATAACCCCATTTCAGAAAAAGAAATTGAACAAGCCATCAATGAATTCCCTAAGAAAAAAATCTCCAAAGCCAGATGTATTTACAAGTAAATTCTAACAAACATTTAAAGAACAATTAACTCCAATACTATAAAAACTATTTGGGAAAATAGTCAAAGGAGTCCTGCTAAATTATTTTTGTGATATAAATATGATGCTGATACCTAAACCAGGAAGAACCAAAAGAGAGAAAGAAAATTATAGACCAATTTCCCTAACGAATATAAATGGAAAAATTTTAAATAAAATGTTAGCAAAGAGATCATAACAATTTGTCATGGGGATAATACGTTATGACCAGGTTGGATTTATACCAGGAATGCAGGGTTGGTTCAATATTAGGAAAACTATCAGCATAATTGACCACAATAACAAAACTAACAGAAATCATATGATTCTCTCAAGAGATGAAGAAAAAGCTTTGGACAATATACAGCACCCATTCTTATTAAAAACACTAGAGAGCATAGGAATATATGGAGCCTTCTTTCAAATGATAAGCAGCATCTATCTAAATCTATTAGTAAGCATTATATGTAATGAGGATAAGCTAGAAGCATTCCTAATAAGATGAGGAGTGAAACAAGGATGTCTATTATCACCATTGTTATTCAATATTGTACTAGAAATGTTAGCTTTAGCAACAAGAGAAGAAAAAGAAATTGAAGGAATTAGAAAAGGCAATGAGGAAACAAAGCTTTGAAAATGATATGATGGTATACTTAGAGAATTATAGAAAATCAACTAAAATCAACTAAAAAACTACTTGAAATCATAATTGTGAATAGGAATAGATCAAGCTCACCCACAAAATAGAAAAAGATAACAAAACGGATTAGAAATAGAACCCAACAACATTAGCAAAGTTTCAAGTTATAAAATAAACCCACTATAAATCATTGGCATTTCTATAAATTAT